AAAAAGACAGCAGGGTGAAAGGAGGCGAGCAAGGTGAAGAGAAGAAGAAGGTTGGTGAGGGAAAGAGAAGCCGGCAGCCATAGCTGACCGAAGGGTTGACCGGGAGAGTTGACCGGAGGTGTTGACCGGCGTTGATCGGAGTTGACCGGGGGTTGAGCGGGGGTTGACCGGGGGGTGACCGCAGCGTTGACCGAGCGTTGACCAAGCTGGAGCCAGTAAAATCTCACCAAGCCTTCAGCCTATCCCTCGCCCTATGGATGTGCACACACCCTGTGGTACTTGCTGAGTCCAGTCTGTCTGTCTCTTCTTTCTGCATCGAGTCTTTTCTGTCTTGGTGATAGTACTCTGTGGATGAAGTATAAGGCCTTGTTGACCAAGCCCACACGGGCTGAGTAGGGCTAAAGACTGTGTTTGACGACTCGACTGTTCCGGAGGACACGAACCCTCCCAAGGACCGGTACTGACCGACGGGCTGCTCGATGTGGCACGGTAAGCCCAAAATCCGAGTTGTGGGCTGCACAACAGGCCGTCTAAGTGTTGAGAGACCTGCTGATCGCGTCGTCCTATCTGCGACGTTAAATAGTTCCTGAGGAGTTACGGGGGATCTCCTTAAATGCCTCCTGATCAGCAACAGGTCTAGTAGTGACATCCATAGTATAGGTCTAGGTTAGAGACCCTAGTTGGCAGGATCCCTGTCAGGATTCTGTGAGTTCTTAGATTGAGTCAGTAGGTTTGTCAGTGAGGGGTTAGAGTCTACATGGTGAGGTTTGGAACCGTTAACCCGGTTATGCACATATCACCATGGTGGACACCCGGAGTGGGAAGAGCGCTAGCCCCTATACCCAGGAACAACCAAGAGAAGATGGCTGCCTTAGTGAGAAAAAACAAAGAGAGGAAAGAGCTCTAGAAACAGGCGAAGTTAAAGACTATCGCAGAGGAGCAGGCGACAAAGATGAAGAAATTGGAGGAGGAGATGAAGAGAGTTCAGGAGGAGGAGGAAGAGAGGAGAAAGGTTGCCAAAGAGGAAGCAGGAGCAGAAGAGGAAAAAGAGAGAAAACGTATTGAAAGCAGAGAGGAGAGTAGTGGCACGAAGAAGGGTGAAGACGCAGAGATGGAGAAGAAGATTAGCGAGTGGATAGCTAACTTACCGTTGGGGGAAGATGAGGAGGCGGAGTTCTATGTGCCTCAGGACGAAAGGGATGCGTTAGCTCAGGAGCTACCAGCAATGGAGGACCCCCTGGAAAGACAAGAAAGAGAGGAGGAGAAAAAGTTGGAGTGGAAATTGAGAATGAAGAGGGAGAAGAAAAGAAGAAGGGATGAGGTTAACAGGTTGACCGCAGAGGTGGCGAAGATGAAGGATTGTAGGCAGGAGGTGGAGGCTCAGACAGACACCTCGGCCAAATGGGATAAGGTGTTGGGGTACCTGGAGGTGTTGAGCGCAGCTTGGATGGAGGAACGCCAAGCCAATAGAGCTCAAGAGGTAGCCCTGAAGGCCATGCGGTCCGGTTTTCGGGATTTTGCGCGTGAGATGGTTACCCACGTTGGAGGGGAAGTCAGGCGGTTGAGAGACAACGTGGGGAAGTTCTGTGAGGGTGCCATTGAGGGTGCCAAAGTAGTAGCCGCTGCTGAGGGCGAGGCCAGACCTCACAGTGAACCAGTCAAACTTAAGTTCCGCGATGCTTATGGTGGGAAATCTGACGAGAACTTCGATAACTGGGAGGCTAGCATAAACAGTTACGTTTACTTGCAACATATCGTACAAGACGATCAGGTCCTGGTAGCCTTCCAGGCCCTCAAGGACGAAGCGCCTAGTTTTGCTAGGTCTCTCGCGTGCACGGCCGGTTGTGAAAACAACATGGTCGCCTATTCCAAGGTTACCCCTCTCCCTCAATTCTTCAAGCTCCTTAGGGAGCGATTCGCTGATCTTCGCAGAGGCGTTAGAGCCTCTGATAAGCTCCAAACCATCCACTCACGGCAGTGGAGGAGTGCCAAGGCACTCAAGGCCGTAATGGATGACCTGGTGGTCGTCCCGGACCATGGGGTGACTGAGTCCCAGTTGGTCCAGTTATCTTATCGTGCCATGTCAGAGCCCCTGCGTGGGCACTTTTTTGACAAATCCCAACAACCCACCATGACGTACGATGCGCTCAGTAGAGAGGTGGTGTTGTTTGAGGCCAAGTCCATGCCAATTACCACTTTCCGGCATAAGGACTTAGACAAGGGGAAGAAGTGGAAAGGCCGTACCATCTCAGGCCAAGTGAGGGCCAAGGATGATATGATCCTTACCTTAGAGGTACTCCTCTGAAATGCCTCAGTCATAGCAGATCGACAGATATAAAAAAAAAAAAAAAGGGGGGGGGGGGATCCTCTTCTTTTATTTTTTATTCTGTTGATTAGGACCGGGAGGAAAGTATAGCTTGGTTGGTTACCTACCTGCATTTTCCCTCCCACCCAACCCTTTGCCTGCATCCCCGGTTTTTCACAGTGGCACGTCAGCAGTGCCACATCACAGTGCCACGCCAGCAGTGCCACGTCAGCAGTTCCACGTCAGCAGTACCACGTCAGCAACAAAGCCACTTCAGCAGTACCACGTCAGCAGTGCCCCGCCACCATGACGGTCTCAGTTCTGGGCATGCCAGGCCAACTGGCCAATGAGTCCATTGCCGAGTACCGACAGCGGTCCGAAGCTCAGCTCGCACTGATAGAGGCTGAGGAACAGCGTCAGGTGGCAGCCGAGGCTGCCCACCTACAAGCTGAAGCGGCAGCAGCAGCTGAAAAACAGCGCCTTCAGGCCGAAGCAAACGCAAATACCCAAGCACGCCGCAAGGAGGCCCAGGATCTGCTACAACGGCATGAAGCCACCAGCATCGAAAAGCTCAAGTTCTGGCATTTTGAACCATCCGAGCACCACGAAGACGCGACACCGGAAGAGCAGCACAAGGAGTTCCTTGCCAAACTCGTGACCCGGTTGGTTTACACTTGTAACCACCTGCAGTCCGAGCTGGGAAATCTCCGACGGGCGGTGCGGAACAAAAGGATCTGCAGGAGGATGCTACACGGGCACTTGATTCCCGTGTACAGGACTTGGAGCAAGCTGCACCAAGACCGGATGCTGGCGAATCCAGCAGTGCACCCTCTACCCGCCAATTGGAGGAACGAGTTGCCACGTAGTCGCAATGCTCGGCGACATCAGCACCTTCGCTACACCAGCCACCATCAGCAAGCAGCTGGACACCTTGAAGACCGAGGTTCAGCAACTGCACCAGCTGCCCAACAAGGATGGCAACACCAGCGCGCAGCACTACAAGATGCCGACATTCCAAATCGAAAAGTTCGATGATTATACACATCAAGACCCGGTCCCCTGGTGGGAGGGCTTTACGACACAACTTCGGATTCTTTTCGTCCCCGAGCACTCGTACATCGGCGCGCTGTTCCTCAACTCAAAGGGCGGATGCCAGATCTGGCTCAGCCACCTTGCAACCATCCATGGCATCCAAGTTGCCGATCTACATAAGAAGATCTGTTGGGATGAGTTGACGAAGCTATGGAAGAAGCGGTTCATCGTGGACGACGCCCCAACACTCGCCATCAACCGCCTCTTATGCATGACTCAAGGCAACACACCAACACCGGACTGGCTCACGGAATGGCAAAAGATCGTGGCAACACCCGATCTCGAGTTGCCATTTTCGCATCTGCGCCGGGAGTTCTACAACCGGTCATGTGCCGCCTTGAGCCTCGCACTTGGTGATCGCGAGCAATACACGACCTTCGCCGAAATCATCGACAAGGTAAGGGAGATCATCAAGACCAACAGGGCGGCTACACACGAGAAGTCAACATGGCAGCCAACCTATTTGGAGAAAGAAAAATTTGGTCTGCGTCCGCAGCAAGTCGCTGCAGTCCAATCGGACAACATTGTGGAAGACCCGGCAGCCACTTGAGGGAGATCAGGTGGTCGTTGTCCAGCCGTGAAGCAACAACAACTCTCGAGGAAAAGGGAAGGCGAAAACCGCATCGCCGGCCGGAAACGGACAGCCAACACCGTGGGTCAAGTTTCACTTAACCGAGGCCGAATACAAGTGGCGCGGCCGGTATGGCTGTTGCTATTGGTGCAACCGCACCGAGCACAAGACCTCCCAATGCCCGGATCAAGGCAAGGAGGATGTTCGGCCTCGCATCAACTCGGGAAACTGAGTTGCGCGGGAGGTGAGGCGACTCCACCTCTCACTCCGCCAGATTCGGCCGCCTTGCTAGCGGCCTCCTACACATCTGGGGAGGATGCGAATGTCGCAAGTCCTCGGTTCACTTATGAGGATTATGCTGTCCACTTGGTCCTACCGTTGGACCAACCACTGCACGTGCAACAATCCACCGCATGCACGGTTTCACCACCATCGGCAACCGATTCGGCAGCTTCGCCGCCAACTATCGTCGGGGATTCGACGTCATGGTCAAGACTTGAAGAGCTCAACCCATTGACGTTTGCGGACTTCCAATGGATGCCCCTTCCCCCGTCCGGTCGATTGCCGAAACCGCATTGCAACGTGCTCATGGCACAATTGCGGGATTACTTGCACACTGCAGTACCAACTCCGTTGATGGACGTCGGAGTAGAGGTTGTTGACCTTTACGACTGCGTTGCGAAGATCGACCACAAGTTCAAGACACAACGGTACAACGACATCGATGCGCCATTGTTATATATACGCATTCAGATTGGAGAGGTGACCTGTAACGCTTTGATCAATTACGGAGCTACTCGCAACTACATGAGCCAGGACTTTATGGTACGCGCTGGCCTTGGGCCACGCGTTCGGAGGAAGTCACAGCCCATGCAAGTCATGTTGGCCGACGGTCACACGCACAAGTCAATCGACCGGTGCATTGATGCCGTCCCCGTGTACTTTGCCCCGCATGCAAGCGAGGCCGTGTCCTTCGATATTTTGGACACCAAGTTCGACATGATCTTGGGCATGTCATGGCCGCGAAGCGAGGATCACCCGGTGAACTTCTACCGCCGCACCGTTCACGTTCGTGACCGGAATGGAGTACTAGTCCCATGCACGGTGCCTCCTCCTCACCCTTCGATCGGCTGTCACGTGGTGTCTGCCGCAAGCATTCGATCTTCCATCATCAGGGATGACATCGAGGAGATGGGTGTGTGTTTTCTCCACGCCCTCCCGCCCCAAGACGTCCCATCGACGGACTCATCACCGGACCCACGCATCACCGAGCTTCTCGACGCCTATGGCGACGTATCCGAAGCCCCGCACGGAGTAGTACCGGATCAACCAATCCGCCATGAGATCATCCTCGAGGCCGGGGCCATAGCTCCGCGTGGTTGCATCTACTGAATGAGCGAGGAAGAGTTAAGTGTGCTACGGGCACAAATCGACAACCTTCTCGAGAAAGGCTGGATTCGGCGTAGCTCCTCGCCATACGGCGCTCCTATTCTCTTCGTTCGGAAGAAGAACAAGGATTTGCGGTTATGCATCGATTATCGCAAGCTCAACGCGCAGACTGTCAAGAACGCCGACCTTCTTCCGCGCATCGACGACCTCCTCGAACTGCTGGGCGGCGCCAAGTTCTTCTCCAAGCTTGACCTCAAATCGGGATATCACCAATTCGAGATTCGGCAGGAGGACCGCTACAAGACCGCGTTTAAGACGCGATATGCGCATTTCGAATGGTTGGTTATGCCTTTTGGCCTTACGAATGCCCCGACCACATTCCAAGCGGCTATGACAACGGAGTTCCGACACATGCTGGATAGATTCGTACTCATCTACGTCGATGACATCTTGGTGTACAATCGCCAAAGGTGCCATTCGTATTCGATGACGACGCACGCCGGTCATTCCAAGCACTCAAGACGGCCATGCTCATGGCACCTGTCCTTAGCATCTACGACCCCACCCTGCCAACGAGAGTGACAACTGACGCTTTCGGCTATGGCATTGGGGCAGTCTTGGAACAACACGACGGCGACGACTGGCACCCCATGGAGTATTTCAGCCACAAAGTGCCTCCTATCAATTCACTTGATGATGCGAGGAAGAAGGAGCTGCTCGCGTTCGTAATGGCTCTCGAGCGATGGCGGCACTTCCTCCTTGGGCGTCGTAGGTTTGCATGGGTCACAGACAACAACCCATTGACTTACTACAAGACGCAAGATACGGTGAGCAGCACGATCTCACGATGGATGTACTTCATCGACCAATTTGACTTCACATCGAAACATCTTGCCGGCCTCTCCAATCGCGCAGCAGATGCACTCCCGCGAAGACCCGATCTTTATGCTATGACACATCATGCCTTCGAGTTCGACGAGGAACTCCAGCGACACTTCATCCGAGGCTATGAGTCCGATCCGGATTTCACCACATTGTATGCGCAGCTCTCTTCGGATCACCCGCCGTCCAGCCACTATCGCATCGTCGACGGGTACTTGCTCCTCCACTCGAGAGGCAAGGAATCGCTATGTGTCCCATGAGACCGTCGTCTTCGGACTCGCCTTCTCGGCGAGTACCATGACTCACGACTCGTCGGCCATTTCAGAGTCAACCGCACTATTGCACGACTTCGGCAACGATTCCGATGGCCCGACTTCATTACCGATGTCACTCGGTATTGCGACTCTTGTGAAGTTTGCCGACGAAGCAAGCCCCGCAACCGCAATCCCTACGGCGAGTTGTGCCCGATGCCTAGCCCACGGGAACCTGGCCTCTCCATTGCCATGGACGTCACTGGCCCATTTCCCCGCGACCGCCTCGGGCACGACGACATCCTCACGGTCGTTGACCGTTTGAGTAAGTATGCGCGATTTCTTCCTTGCAAGTACTATGCCACGACTCCCGAACTTGCGCGCCTCTTACCCACCGGCTGGATTTGCAGCCACGGCGTACCGGAAGACATCGTCAGCGACCGCGACACTCGCTTCATGTCGGTATTTTAGACTTCTCTCATGCAGGTATCCGGCACGAAGATAAAACCAAGTTCGGCTCGACATCCACAAACGGACGGGCAAACGGAGCGGGCACATCAAACCGCTCAAATGATGCTTCGTACGCTCATCCGTCCGGATCAGAAGGATCGGGTTGACCGCCTCCCCGACATCGAGTTCGCCTACAACACTTCATTGCATCCGGCGATCGGCGTGACTCCATTCGAGTTGCACCATGGTGGCCGGAAAGGCCGTATCTTCGCTGATCTTCTCCTCCCACGAACAACCGACATAGACGCTGCTTGCTCCCCCGCTTCCGTCCGAAAGTACAGGGAATTACTGGCTCAAGCGCGCGTGAACATGCAAAAGGCTCAAGTCCGCATGCAGCAGCAAGCCAACAGACCTCGCGTGCCATGTCCCATCCGCGCCGGTGATCTGGTGTGGGTCTCCGCGGAAGAGTTTGCACTCGAGCAGGATGTTTCACGCAAACTGCTTCCCAAGTGGTTTGGACTATGGCCCGTAACATCAGCCGCGGGCGATGAGCCCGATGGCCCCTCATTTGTGATCAACATTCCCCCGCATCTGAAAGTCCATCCAGTCTTTCACGCCTCGAAGCTCGCAACATATACACCAGCTAAGAGCGACGACTTCCCGGGCCGACGATTGCAAGATCCTCCATCTATGGATGGTCATTAGGAAGTTGACTGCGTCATCACGGATCGCAAGTACGGCAGCAAGCCTCGACAGTACAAGGTTACATTCAAAGCATGCGATCCCGACGACACTTGATGGATTTCAGGAGCAGATTTGAAAACATCAGCACCGCTGATCTACGCTCACTACGAGCGACAAAGGTTAGCTAAGGGAACTTCACGACCTGCCCCTCCCACCCGGACTGTGGTCCCTCCCTCAGACAGACAGCTTTGCCCTTGCAGGTAAGCTTGGTCTTTCAAGGAGGGGGGGGTGTGGCATATTGTGCAGCCACACGGGCCTGCAGGGCCCGACCAGCGTCCGCAGCCTAAAAGCCTGAAAATAAGGGCTTACAGGCCCTGTGTTGTTTCAACCTGAAAGCCTGAAAATGAGGGCCTGCAGGCTCTATGTCGTTTCAACCTAAAACAGGGCCGTCCAGGCCCTGAGTCTTTTCAGCCTGAAACGGAGGGCCACTTTCGGGCCCTCATAAGATCGACCTGCCCTGACATTCGGGCACCAAACCAGGGTTTTAGGAACAGGCTATTTTTGGCCTGTTCCCACGACAGCCTCAGCAGGAGCTGCAGCGCCAGGCCCTGGCTCGTTTTGGCATTGGCAAGAGCAGCCTCCTAGACTGCCCTGCCCTGCAACTGCAGGCAGTCGGAGGCAGTCAGGAGGCAGGCCGAGGTAGTACATTGGGAGTTCCCATGCACTTTACGGGTAGGCAGAAGGCAGGAGTAGTCTTCAGGATTCGGCAGCAGCACTCTGGAGGAGCGCTGCAGGAGTAGCTTTAGCGCTAGCAGTAGTCTTCAGCGCTGGGCGCTAGTAGCAGTAGTGGTAGTCTTCAGCGCTGGGCGCTAGTAGGAGCAGAGTAGCGTTGGAGAGAGAGAGAGAGAGATGGCTGGCGGAGGCCAGGGAGACTTACCTGTGGCGCCAAAGCTCCAGCTTCATCTTCGAGGTACCTGCATCAAGGCGCCAACTTCACAGGTTAGTATCGGACTGAGAGAGGGAGAGAGAGAGAGAGAGAGAGAGAGAGAGAGAGAGAGAGAGAGAGAGAGAGAGAGAGAGAGAGAGAGAGAGAGAGA